CAGATTTCCTACCTTCTATGTATGCCAATTACATAATATTATATGTATGTCAAAATTGTATTGATAAATATGAAATGTCAGATTTCCTACCCTCTATGTATGCTAATTACATAATATTATATGTATGTCAAAATTGTATTGATAAATATGAAATGTCAGATTTCCTACCTTCTATGTATGCCAATTAAATAATAATATATGTATGTCAAATTGTATTGATAAATATGGAATGTCAGATTCCATACCTTCTATGTATGCCAATTACAAAATATTATATGTATGTCAAAATTGTATTGATAAATATGAAATGTCAGATTCTATACCTTCTATGTATGCCAATTACAAAATATTATATGTATGTAAAAATTGTATTGATAAATATGGAATGTCAGATTTACTACCTTCTATGTATGCCAATTACAAAATATTATATGTATGTCAAAATTGTATTGATAAATATGAAATGTCAGATTCCATACCTTCTATGTATGCCAATTACACAATATTATATGTATGTCAAATTGTATTGATAAATATGAAATGTCAGATTCCATACCTTCTATGTATGCCAATTACAAAATATTATATGTATGTCAAATTGTATTGATAAATATGAAATGTCAGATTCCATACCTTCTATGTATGCCAATTACAAAATATTATATGTATGTCAAAATTGTATTGATAAATATGAAATGTCAGATTCCATACCTTCTATGTATGCCAATTACAAAATATTATATGTATGTCAAAATTGTATTGATAAATATGAAATGTCAGATTCCATACCTTCTATGTATGCCAATTACAAAATATTATATGTATGTCAAAATTGTATTGATAAATATGGAATGTCAGATTTACTACCTTCTATGTATGCCAATTACAAAATATTATATGTATGTCAAAATTGTATTGATAAATATGAAATGTCAGATTCCATACCTTCTATGTATACCAATTACACAATATTATATGTATGTCAAATTGTATTGATAAATATGAAATGTCAGATTCCATACCTTCTATGTATGCCAATTACAAAATATTATATGTATGTCAAATTGTATTGATAAATATGAAATGTCAGATTTAATACCATCTATGTATGCCAATTACATAATATTATATGTATGTCAAAATTGTTTTGAATAACATTTTGTTAAAGGGATATTAAAGAGTTTTTCTATGATTTTTATGTGTATCGATACACTGATAGCATCAGCTCGACATTGTAGCTCGATACTGCGTCGATATCTCGCTGTCCGGATTTGACCCTCTCCGTATTGATTTCCTCCTTTAAGAGGTATCTCTTAGGGTCGACATCCTCTTTGAGATTAATTAGTCCCCTTATCCCCATTTCATTAGAATTTGTATTTATGTAAACATTTCTCTTTTGAAAGAATTTTTTCTCTGTTTTAACTTTGGTTGGTAAATGACAAGTTAACGTTCGCTTCCAGCGGATGTTGATCAGTGGCGGAGCCAGGTTTACGTCCGAGGGGTGGCGAAATATCTGAGATTGCCCGAATTTCTAACCTAACCTAATTATGAGATTTTTGCCCGAAAAACTTGCTTTCGGGCTGTGAGGGGGAGGGGGAGAGGTGGCGGTTGTCCTTCCCCTCTGGCTCCGCCACCAATGCTGATATCGCAAGCTAAGTAGTAGTTGGTAGTTGGATTAAAATTTTCTTGCGTCTTTTTTTACTTTCCCTTTCACATGAATTTGTCCACGCCGAAAACCTCCTTTGAGAAGGGTTTGTGCTTAAGGTGTCGACATCCCTATCGGGCTAATGTTAACTGGAAATTTTTACAACGGGTCACAATACAGATGATAGGATGAGAGTATATCAGTATCAAAATAATATGTAATAACAACTTTCATGATAATATCACCAAGCCATATCTCATATATGAATATTTGCTTGCCTCATGTTAAAACCATGTGGTATTATATTGTATGTCTATTCATCTCTGTATATATATTATAGCTAGTTAAATTTACCCATAACATATTGTGTGAAAGAGGGGATCTCTAATTAATTAAGCTGATTCAGATATAAGGAGAGATTAGTATTTAATATAATTAATTACAATTAGTAACCTGCCTTATTAAGTTTTAAGTCAATGGTTGCATTGTTTAGATAGCAACCGGGATAGGGCTATATAAGACCCAAAGATATGTGGTCTCAAAAAAGGAAAGATGTATTAAGAACTAGAATATCAACTGTAAATATTGTATATATATAATAAACCTATAACAACTGTTATATGAAGAAGAGTTCTGTTATTCTATTAACCACGAGACAATCAGGATCTATTATCAATATAGAGCTATACACCCCCACGTACATCAAGATATTGATAGATTCAGCGATTGGTCTTAGATGGTGGAGATGCAAAATTCAATCCCGGTATCGAATAGAATCCAGCCAAGTCAGTGATGAAATAACAGATCCAGCAGGCCTGAAGTAACTTACTAATTTCTGAAGAATTCTTCAAAAGTAACAGAGAGATAAATTTGGTAAGTGAATTCCTGTAACGTTTCGTGTGTCATACTTTTAGATTACAATAGGAGTATCAATATTTATTTGAAATCATCAGGATGTTTGATGTACTAAATGTGTTCTCACCGCTTAGTGATACCAAAGTGTGCCCAATGGATGTGAATGTTGTGACCCCCTTGAAGAAGAATTTCATAGATATAGCTATAAAAATGAAATCTTGTCGGTCCTTAGTGGATACAGGGAGTGCAATTACAGTAATCTCTAAGGCACTGCTGGGTAGTTTTTGGCCCAACATTGAGCTAACAAGAGCGGATTTTCCGAATATAATAGGTGTAGGTGGACATCTTTCAAAAGTGCTAGGATCATTACAAATGAAATTTCAAATATTATTAGATATTACATTTAAACATAAATTCTATGTGATCCCCAATATACACCAAGACATTATACTTGGAAATGATTTTTTAAAATTAAAGGTATTATAAATATGGAAAATAATACTCTTACTTTAAATGATGGATTAGTGCAAGTCACAGTTCTTGAAAACAAAGAAAATATGAGTGCTAAAGTACAGAAAACAGAAAATAATATAAACTAGAGCCACTGTGGCACAAAGTGGGACTTTGCAAATGTAGCAAATTGCAAAAGACACCGAAAAAATCAACCTTCCACGATAATTAGATTATGTGCAAGAACAGTCTAAAGTTGAGAAATTTTCATTTTTAGAAGATTCTAATACCGGAAGTAGACGCCAGACCTTACAAATGAAAGTATTAGCAGATAGCCATGGTCAATGACCTTTGATCTTGTAAAGGAGGAGGTCTAAAAAGGTCAGGATTGAAGAGATATACGTCATCAAAATTTCTAATTGCACACGACTATAAAACCGGAAGTTGACATAGGACAGCAAATATAAAAGTATAAATAGATAGCCAATGCCAATGACGTTTGATCCTTTTGAATTTCCAAAACCTGTTCCTTTTTTTAAACTATGAAGCTGAAACAACCGAACTTCTAAGACAAAGTGGCTCAAAACATGAGGTAATTGTATGCAAAGTTCCATTTTGAACAAATGTATACTTTGCGAGTTATGCCCTTGGCCAAAAATGTCAATAATGAGTAATTTAACCCGGATGTGCCACGCCCACCTCAATTTTTTTTGCATAGGTTAATTGATATTCAAAATGTTATGTCGTGTTCCAAATGTCAAACTTCTACATCATACAGGTCAAAATATATAGGTCAACAAAAGTCAACAAAGGTCAAAATCGAAAAATGAAAATATCCAAATGTTAAAAACCCGTTCCTTTTTTGGAACTATAAAGCTGAAACAACTGAGCTGTTAACACAAACTGGCCAAAAGGATGAGGTAATTGTGTGCAAAGGCCCTTTTTGAAAAAACGCATCCTATGCGAGTTATGTCCCTGCCTCTAAATGTAAACAATTAGTAATTCAACCCGGATGTGCCACGCCCACATAAGTTTTTTTGTCATAGGTGAATTCATATTCAAAGTGTCTAGTTTTATTTCATATATCAAGGTTCTACATCAAATAGATCATAAGATATACATACACTAAGCTCAAAAAGTCGCAAATATTGTAAAAAAAAAACTCAAATTTGAAAAAATCACGAATTTCAATTTTGCTTTAAAAAAACGGTTGTTATATATCTATGTAAAGTACACGAGAAGCACATTAGGAAACCGAAAAAAATTACTCTCTAGGTTAATTAGGTCACGTGCTAGAGCAGTCCAAAGTTGCGAATTTGGCTTTTTACGGATAGCTATAAAACCGGAAGTACATGTCGGAGGTCAAAGGTCAAAGTATCAAATGATAGCCAAGGTCAATGACCTTTGACCCTATGAAGGTCAAGGTCATCAAAGGTCAAGGTCATGCGGTGTGATCGTTTAAAGCTTAAAAAATTTCAACCGGAAGTTGCAAAAGGGCAAAAGCGAAATTCAAAATTCAGCTCCCAATATTTTTTGCGCAATCGATTGCGGAATACATTCACATCAAATTTGAGCATATCAACATTTACCCTGAGGCCCCATTTTGAGTTTTACAAAAAAGTGTTTTTTCAATATGGCGGCCAAAGTATCACTTCCGGTCTGGATTTTATTTTCTTCGTTTTTTTTGTAATAGCATTTACTTACAATCAGCATAAATTTCGATGACCTATTTCAATTACACTGAAAGTTATTCGACCGGAAGTGGATTGTACTTTCAATTGATTCCCCGTTTAAAACCGGAAGTAAAGTTAAATATTTGACAACTACATATTATTTACTTTAGTGATGCCCCTTTGCATATTAAATTTCAGATCAATCGATGAGCGACGAATTTTCGAATTTCGTAATTTTTCAAGTGCTATCAGGTCAGAAATTACAGGTAGATTGTAAAAATGAAAACCCGAAGAAAATCGATGTAAAAATACGCCTTCTAGAGCCGATTTTAGACTTTTTGCACATTTTGAACTGTGGCACTTCCGGTTTTACAAAAATGTTCCAATATATATTTAAGGAACCCGTTGCCACTACAGAAGGTCTAGAGAAGTTGAAAGGTTTCTGCAACTACTGCAGTATAAGCTCAGGAAGGTGTGTAAATTTCGAAAAAAAAAAAAAGAATGGACATTTCGATAACAAACTGGGACTTTGCGGAAGCAAAGTCCCACAATAATAAAAACAAAAATAGGTCTAGTTTCGTTAAAACGGCTTCAAAAGTTATAATTAAACCACAGTCGGAAGTTCTTGTTTATGCTAAAACAACTAAGTTTACAAATAATGCAGTAATGTTAGTAGAACCGACAAAACAATGTCAAATCGTACATAATATATTAGGTGCCAAAAATATAAGTATTATCAAAAATAACAAAGTGCTAGTTACCTTTTTGAATCCAACTAACAATAAGATACAAATACCAGCTAATTCTATTATTGCCAAAGTATATACAATTGATAATCATGAAATAGTGTCACTAGATGACAAATATCCTGAAATCTGTACTACTTCCATATCAAATGTTAATGGGCAATTAAGTAACTCAAACAAAAAGCCAGAGCAATCATTTAAATTTAATATGGAAAATTCAGATTTGAATCAAACACAAAACAGCTAATGGAGTTTCTAGATAAGAATAAAGAAGTCTTTGCAACTAATCTTTCAGACTTAGGAAAAGCTAAAGGGTATGCACACAGAATTGAAACTGGAAATGCCAGTCCGGTATGATCTAGACCATATAGCAAGAACCTTTCAAAAAGGAACAAACGGAAATAATGACAAAGGATATTCTAGAAAATGACATTATTGTTGAATCCACTAGTAGCTGGGCATCACCCATTGTGCTTGTCAAAAAGCCAGATGGATCTCTTCGGTTCGCAGTTGATTACCGTAAATTGAATAGGGTAACAGAACCAATGACACATCCATTACCCCTGCTTACAGACACAATTGATGTGATTGCCGCAGCTAAGGCTAAAATCTTTTCTGTTATTGATCTCCAATTAGGCTATTGGCATCAGGAGTTAGACCCAGACACTAAACATAAATCTGCATTTGTAACTCATCAAGGCTGTTTTGAGTTCGTCTTAATAAGATAATTACACTGATGGTGAAATTCAGATTATCACTAGATTAGATGAAAAACAATGGTTTACTTTTAATAATACTAAATAAATAAACCATCCAGCCGTACGCCCTATTTCTCGATGTTGCAATTGTGATGCAAGTCGAAGGGGCTGAAATGGAAAAAGTGTCTCATTATAACAATAAACTGCATACTGTATCCATATCCCCACGCCGTACATCGGATACCGTACATCTATTCACGGCTTGACTTAAGTCTTGAATATATTATGTAAATAGTCTAGCCTTTTAGCCTAAACTGATAAACACCGCGTCATAAAATACCAGCGCTAGAGTGGGTATAAATTTGATAGGTTAAGGCAAACGTCATCGAGTTCGGTCGACGAACGTTCAAGAGTGATGTCGTTAGACCCTAACTGAATTGGCTATATTAAAAAAGAACTTATAAAACATTGTGATCTATGATCGGGGACACAAAATAGTAGCAAGAAGAGTATTCGTTACATGAATAGGTTAGAAACAGTTGCGTTTCCCTCCGGGGGTAGGGGGTGATCAGGGGGACCAGAGGGGGCTGACCCAGCTTTGCCCCCTCTCCCACTTTCAAATTTTTTATCATTTTGTATAGTGAAAGAATGGTCTGTGGCCCCCTATAATATTGTCTGGCCCCTGCTCGGCCCCCTCACCGTATGCTTCCTAGAAACGCAACTGGCTAGAAAAAATATCTTTTGAATTCTTTCAAACACAAGAACTGAAATACATCAATAATGTTGACGTGATTGTCTAAGATTTAATTGAGTAAAGAGTACTTAAAGAAAACAAAAGCCGTTCCAAATCGTTTTAACAAGCAAAGTGGAAAAGATCCAGCGTGAATACATTTCTACATCTTCTTAACCGAAATCTTCGTTAATAATAACAAAATATATTTTTCTTTTGCAAATATTTTTTAGAATATCCGGCATGTGTTTATAGTTAAGATATCAAAAACTTTTTAATTTACACTTTGGATATTTGTATATATTGAAGTTTGACAATGGATATAGGTACTCAAAAGATGCTGCTTATTTCAGTGATACTGTTTGCGGGGTGCGCAGCGGATTTGTATCTCTTGCGTAGACCGACACACGATGACTTAAAATTCGACGGTTATACCTTGGAGAATCTGGTAAATATCCCGACCATACCATTTTGTGCCTTTCGATGTTACGTGAACACAGCGTGTGTATCAGTATTTTATAATAAGATTTTCAAATCGTGCGTCTTAAAATCTGTATTATTCATGAATCTTCAGGACGGTATAGTTGAAAGTGGCACCAAATATTACAGTGTTTATGAAGGTGAGAATTTTTAACGCATATTTTAGTCTAAATATTTGGTTCGGTAGTCTGATGATTTTCATTTCGATTATCTGCAAGACTTTTCAGAAACAGAAAATTCGTTCATCTGCAATAACAGAAAAAGCACCAGTGGGAGTGCTTACGATCTAAAAATCTTGAAGTAAACATTATTTTCAGTGTTTGGATATCATGAAGTCTCTCAATGTGGGTATTTCCAATCACACCGGACTGCGACCTTACGGCGACCTAAAATGTACTTTCTAGCCGGAAAACGTGGCAAAAAGTCCCATGAAATTGCAAATTTTATGACAATCGCACTCAAATTTCTATATATGCGACCATATTGTGCTTCTCAACGGCGATTATTTGCGACAAGAGCGCCCAACGTGCTGGACTATTTGGAACCATTTGCGATCTTATGGAACTAAAAATGTACTTGGTCTCTGGCAAGCGTGAAAAGACATAAGAAACTATATTGCGTTCCCGGGGTGCATTTCTAAAAAAATCTCTGGGCTTCATTTTTATCGCGTTTATGGGAATGTTACGACGCTTGTCTAAAGACATTTTCGATACCGCGTCGACGGCGATTATTGGCGATAATGGCGCCCACCGTACGGTACCTGGCGCTCCTCCACGTCAATACCACGCTTATGGCTTATGCTGAGATAATTCCGCCAATGTCGCCAATGTACAAAGGAGGATAGGAAAGTCCCCCACAGTACAGATGTCATTTTGGCACCTTGCCAGATGTTCGTATCCGTCCTCAGACGTCCGTGCTCATTGAGTCATCCGTTGCGCCTGAGTTTGAGTTTGAGTTTGTGTACACAATGTTATCGCAGCTTTATTCGCATTTTTATCCATTTCAGATGGTTGTCCTCAAGACTTTATTAGAAACAGAAAATACGACCTATGTTACAATACATTTCTTGCATACGTGGAAAGGAATGAAGCTAAAGAGTTATGCGCGGAGAATGGATATGTCTTACTGAGAGGTACATCAGTTGATGCTTACAACCATGTATCTAATCAACTTATGGTCACTCCAGGTAAATATTTGTACTTAGACCTTGACTGCAAAAGCCGCTGTTCCTGTATCAGGGAGAGGGGTAATATAGGCGAAGCCTGTTGCCCAATCCGTTTCAAAATGTATATATTTGAATATATGTATTTGTAAACAAAAATATCGTAAATAATAAAAATATCGTTTACAAAAATAAACTAGAGCCACAAGTGGCACAGAGTGGGACTTTGCAAATGTAGCAAATTGCAAAAGACCCGTAAAAAATCAACCTTCGACGATAATTATTTCAAGTGCAAGAACAGTCTAAGGTTGAAAAATTTTTAAAAAAAATTCTAATAAATACCGGAAGTAGACGACATACCTCACAAATGATAGTATCAGCTGATAGCCAAGGTCAATGACCTTTGATCTTGTAAAGGAGAAGGTCTAAAAAGGTCAAGATCAAGAGATATACGTCATCAAAATGTCTAATTGCACACGACTATAAAACCGGAAGTTGACATAGGACAGCACATATAAAAGTATAAATAGATAGCCAATGCCAATGACGTTTGATCCTACAAAGGTCAAGGTCAACAAAGGTCAAGGTCAAAAATTAAAATTTTAAATTTCCAAAACCTGTTCCTTTTTTTGAACTATGAAGTGGAAACAACCGAACTTCTAATACCAAGTGGCTCAAAATATGAGATAATTGTATGCAAAGTACCATTTTGAACAAATGTATACTTTGCGAGTTATGCTCCTGGCCAAAAATATAAATAATGAGTAATATAACCCGGATGTGCCACGCCCATCTTAATTTTTTTTAATATAGGGTAATTAATATTCCAAATGTTATGTTGTGTTTCAAATTTCAAGCTTCTACATTACTCAGGTCAAAAGATATAGGTCAACAAATGTCAACAAATCGAAAATCGAAATATTCAAATGTTAAAACCCGTTCCTTTTTTGGAACTATGAAGCTGAAACAACTGATCTGTTAACACAAACTGGCCAAAAGGATGAGGTAATTGTGTGCAAAGTCCCTATTTAACAAACGTATCCTATGCGAGTTATGGCCCAGCCCCAAAATGTAAAAAATTACTAATTCAACCCGGATGTGCCACGCCCACCCCAATTTTTTTGTCATAGGTGAATTTATATTCAAAGTGTCTAGTTGTATTCCAAATATCAAGGTTCTACATAAAATAGGTCATAAGATATACATCAAAAAGACACAAATATGGTAAAGAAATATTCAAATTTGAAAAATCACGAATTTCAATTTTGCTTTAAAAAAAAACCATTGTTATATATCTATGTAAAGTGCATGAGAAGCACATTAGGAAACCGAAAAAATTAACCCTCTAGGTTAATTAGGTCACGTGCTAGAGCAGTCCAAAGTTGCGAATTTCGCTTTTTACGGATAGCTATAAAACTGGAAGTACATGTCGGAGGTCAAAGGTCAAAGTATTAAATGATAGCCAAGGTCAATGACCTTTGACCCTATGAAGGTCAAGGTCACCAAATGATGTCAAGGTCACATGGTGTGATCGTTTAAAGCATGAACAAATTTCAACCGGAAGTTGCAAAAAAGTAAAAGCGAAATTTAAAATTCGGCTCCCAAAGTTTTTTGCGCAATCGATTGCAGAATACATTCACATCAAATTTGAGCATATCAACATTTACCCTGAGGCCCCAATTTGAGTTTTACAAAAGTGTGTTTTTTTCAATATGGCGGCCGAAGTATCACTTCCGGTCTGGATTTTTTTTTTCTTCATTTTTTTGTAATAGCATTTACTTACGAGCAGCATAAATTTCGTTGACCTATTTCAATTACACCGGAAGTTATTCGACCGGAAGTGGATTGTACTTTCAATTGATTCCCCGTTAAAAATCGGAAGTAAAGTTAAATATTTGACAACTACATATTATTTACTTTAGTGATGCCCCTTTGCATATTAAATTTCAGATCAATCGATGCAAAAACAAAAAAGTTGCAAAAAATTGAAAGATTTGATCGAAAAAAGTGAGCGACGAATTTTCGAATTTCGTTATTTTTCAAGTGCTATCAGGTCATAAATTACAGGTAGATTGTAAAAATGAAAACCCGAAGAAAATCGATGCAAAAATACGCCTTCTAGAGCCGAAAAATGTTCCAATATATATTTAAGGAACACGTTGCCACTACAGAAGGTCTAGAGAAGTTGAATGGTTGCTGCAACTACTGCAGTCTAAGCTCAGGAAGGAAAAGAATGGACATTTCGATAACAAACTACCGCCAAGTCCCACAATGAATGAACGGAGTGCAGCGATTTGATTGGATTGTATGCTAGCTAATACATGTACAGCCAATCAGAGCCCTCAGTGTAGGGAGAAAATGATGGTACGACAGACTTACAAAAATATTCATCTTTCCAAATATACCTGGGTTTGGCAGATCCGACATAGGTTTAAAACCTCCGCAACTGCGGAGATGCAGAATGTCTCCATTTAACGTGTCTTAAAATTTCTGTCTCAACACCAGCTGACATCTGTCCAAATAGCTATCAGAGGCTGCAATAGAGACAGATATTTCGGTCCAACAAGAAAGGTGACTGTTGCAATTGGGAAGATGTTTTGAAGGTTGATCTGTAGATGACAAGTTAAATTCGCTATTTCGCAAACTAGGTAGTTGTTGATAGTCTTGCTAGTTGATATTTGGATCAGGATTTGAATGAACTGGCGGTGTTGGTAGTTTACAATTCGTAAGATGGCGCTGATTCCCTGCGTTTTAGACTCTCTGCGACTCTTCTGTACATTCTGATTAATTATTGGCACTGCTCTGTACATTCTGAAAATTCTCGGAGCACCGTCTGTACATTTTTACTACCCTACAAACCTTCTGTACATTCTGATTAATTCTTGGCCTGTACATTCTGACCATTCTCGGAACCCCTTCTGTACATTTTCACTATCCTGAAACCCATTTGTACATTCTGATTAATTCTTGGCACCGTTCTGTACATTTACATTCTTCGACATCCTTTTTTTGTTATAACTACTTCGGGTAACTAATATCTTATCTTAAACGTACCGATTTGCCTTTTTCGAGGGTCAATCGTACCTTTTTCAGCTAAACTTATCAGTAATGGTGTTCACTTCTTACCGTCGAAATAATAACTCATCGTTCGATTAGGTAACAAGAATTTGTAAAGTTTGTAAAGTGAGCATAATTTGACTATAGCAAATTATTTTCATCTATTTTACAATGGTTGTTCTTCTATTTTTTATTGAAACCAATGCTTTGCTCCAGTCGGATGCTTAGTTCTGTGAGCCTTCCTTGACAATGGCGTGTTCCTTCTGCTGTCAATAATGCTCCAATGTCTTCGATCCATCGGTAAATATAGGTTTTTCTATGACTTTTTCCTAATATTTAGGAACATAAGGACCAATATTATGTAGCTACGTGGCGGCTTAGTAAATGTTTCTGTTTGTTTTTTAAAGGAAATGCATACGGGTATTACATTGGAGGTAGTGATAAAATCACCGAGGGTCGATGGATATTTGACGATGGTGAAATAATGACAGCTTTTATTTGGGGAGACGGAGAGCCGGATAACCACACGGATAAAGATGTTCTTTATTTAATAAGATTAGGCAATGGTAAATATGAAATGTCAGATATCCAACCTCATACGCGTTTCAATTACATTTGTCAAAAACTGTAGTGTCGCATTGCCACCATTATCAAAATAATGAACTGATTGCAGTGTATGTGTATGAAATGTCAGATTTACTACCTTCTATGTATGCCAATTACATAATATTATATATATGTCAAAATTGTATTGATAAATATGAAATGTCAGATTTCCTACCCTCTATGTATGCCAATTACATAATATTATATGTATGCCAACATTGTATTGATAAATATGAAATGTCAGATTTAATACCCTCTATGTATGCCAATTACATAATATTATATATATGTCAAAATTGTATTGATAAATATGAAATGTCAGATTTCCTACCTTCTATGTATGCCAATTACATAATAATATATGTATGTCAAAATTGTATTGATAAATATGAAATGTCAGATTTCCTACCCTCTATGTATGCCAATTACATAATATTATATGTATGTCAAAACTGTATTGATAAATATGAAATGTCTTATTTACTACCTTCTATGTATGCAAATTACATAATATTATATGTATGTCAAAATTGTATTGAATAACATTTTGTTAAAGGGATAGTAAAGATTTTTCTATGATTTTTATGTGTATCGATACACTGATAGCATTGATTTACAATTTACAATCAGACGTATGAATTGCAGGAACCACAGACGCCTGCCTGAAAATTGGAATCGTGCAAATTGCCACTATCAGCTATATATTTTTTTAGAAATCTTCTTTACTATCCCTTTATATTTAAAACAAGTTCAGTAAAGTAAGTAAGTAAAATTGTCGACGTATATATTCTATCATACGCGGATCATATCACCTAATGGAATTCATTATAAATACGCTATAGGACGCCCAAAATTAAAGAATGAATACGTCGATAGTTGACTTAATCGTTATGGTGTGACACGGCCTCTGGTTGGAAGGAAACACCTCACTGTCTGAGCAAAGCAAACATTTTTTTATTTTTTTATAAATGGTTAAAATCAAATGAATAGAGTCTACGTCCTACTTTTCTTCACCACGTGAACAGTGGCAAAGCAAAAGGGGTGAAAAGGGGACAGTCGCCCACCGTCACTCAAACACAGCCCCAGAAGAGAGCTTTCGGGCAAAAATCTCATAACTAGGTTAGAAATTCGGGCAATCTCAGATATCTCCAAATTTTGTCTGAAAATTGACCTCCGTAAAAACAAATTTTGAAGACATAATATTGTGCGCTCGTGTTAATATTTTTATCAAAGACTTTCTCAGTACTATTTTGGGGCTGTCTTGCGAAACTATTTTCTTTGCGACTTTTTGTAGCTGCCCCTGAAGGCGAACCGTAACTGCTACAGGGTTGCGCTTTGGTGAGTGGGTAGCCAATGTCTGGTTCTATACGGCACAAAAAACCAGGATGTCAACACGTTCAGTTGTAGCTCGACATTGTGAAGATGTAATAAATATTGCATTCTCGCAGTCAGATGCATGACGAATTCAACCAAGCGTAATGCATGATTCCAGTTGTGAAACGTCTCGTTCAATAAACAAACAAAAAGTAAACGCATAGAGACTGTTCATAATATATGGAAGACCGATCAGCTCAAAACCAAAGCCATATTTCTTTGTGGCAATTTTTCTGATAGCTTATGCCTGACGAATTCAGATCAACTGTAATAATTGATTAAAGGGACAGCTGCCATTTTTCTTACCAATCATACTTTAGCCTCTATAGAAACGGGAATTTTTCAGCTGAACTAATCAGTAATAGTGTTCACAGGTCACCGTCCAAATTTATGTTCAGAATTATCCGCGTTTGAACGTAAGATGCTTTGTAATATATAAAAAAAGACATATGAAGAAAAAGTGAGTAAAATTCTTAGTTTGAAGGAATTATGCAATTTTCGTACATTTCTAGTACGAAGACTATTTAAATATATTCAAGATTAAAATCACAAATCATCCACAGCCGCCCCCCCCCCCCTCCCGAAATGCCGCATATGTCCCTTTAAATACATTAATACTTCTTATTTTCCATTTCTCATTTGATTTTAGACCGAAACATCTGCATGTAGCCTAGCCTCTGATAGCTTTTTTAAAAGTTGTCGGCTGGTGTAGAGGCAGCAAAACTAGTAAGGATGGGGTGGAAAATCCCCATAATGCAGGGCACAGGATTTCTGACCCTATGCTAGCCAATAAATCTCAAAATGTCTGTCAGAGGCTGGAATAAAGGTAGATGCCTCGGACTAGCTCTATTTAGATTTTTCAGATATCTAGTATTGTCCATTAACAGAAACAAAGACGATTCAATCAGTAATAATTGACGTCGTCATTAATAATGAAGTTGTTGACGATTTAAAAACAAACAATTCTTATATTCTTGTAGTTAATGACTAATAGAAATGACAATTACTCGGAAGTCACATTATTACTTTTCAAAATAACCTTCTTTATGATGACTCTGTAAAAGAGAAAAGCTCTTCTATGAACGGTGGCTAATTGACAAAATTTAGAGCAAAATGTCAAGATGTCGGGAAAGTCATATTCAAGGGACAGATTCGCCAACCGTTTGATTTGACCAATCATACCTTAGTCTCAGGAAAATGATTTTTTTTTAACTAAGCTAATCAGTATTAGCGTTTATAGCTCACCGTCAAAATTAAAGCCATCAAATCCATGAGTGAAAATGAAAATGAAATGAATGGTCGTTCGGATAGGACAATAAACGGAGGGTCCGTGTGCTACAGGCTGTGCACGTTAAAGATCCCTCGACGGATGGAAATCGAAAATGAGCAGGCTAATGCCGCTGTCCTGGCAAAATTTTCCTCATTGCACCCTGCAAGATGTTACCCGTCTTTATTAGCCCAAATGTTGCAGAAAAGTAAGACGTAAAACCCCATTCTTCAAATTTGTGGCATTGCAAAGCTAACATTTGAAAGTATTTTGTGTCAAAATTTCAGCATCCTACCTCAACTGGTTTTGCAGTGGTGAAGCATCAAAATTTGGATTTTGAAAAAAGTGAAAATTGGTAAATTTCAACAGGTAGCTACCTGTGGATCCAAAATCGAAAATTTTGTCAAATTTTTTGGGTCTTGGAAATCCCCTTTAACATTCCTCGTTAACGCATCGCTTGTGAAATCAGGATTTCATATATTTACTTGAATGGACTGCAGGATATTAAATGCGTTTCATTTGAATGACTTATATCCATTAATCGATTTGTGTTGTTGAGTGATCGAATCAATCAAACTTATTGTGTTCACCAAGAAGCTTTTATTATCACCCAAAAGTAATTATTATTATGGCTCGTCGAATTAAGATACATTAATATTTGGTTTTAAAGGGACAGGTTCGCCATCCTCTTGACCAATGGTACCTTGGTCTCAGAAACGGGTATTCTTTTAGCTAAGCAATTCAGTAATAGTGTTTATAGCTCACCGTCGAAATTTTACCCTTCAAATCCATGTGTGTCCATAATTAGCCACGTTTGAAAGTTAAATTGACGACTCGTCATTTCTTGAGACTCTGCCATACACAGAAAAAGAAGGTGAAGTTCCTAGTTTGAGATATTTTTTAAGGTATTATGTGATTTTCGTACATTTTTAGCACTTCTGAAGACTATTTACATATATTCAGGGCCCAAATCAACCCCCGAAAATTGACGAATCTGCCCCTTTAAGATACATTAAAGTTGATTTAAAACGACTGTTATTTCTGGAAACATTAAATGTTTCTCATTTTGCCTTCTGTGCTGGGCGAACTCTTAAACATTTCTGCCAAGCTTTCAGTGCTGTTGATAAGTTTATATCGTGTATAGAGGGTCAATTTCTTTTAGCAGTTACAAATAGGCCTAGAGAGTACATTTTTTGTAGCAGTTACAAATCGAGTATAGAGGGTTAATTTCTTTTAGCAGTTACAAATCGAGTATAGACGGTTAATTTTTGTGTAGGTCTCGGTAACAAAGAAAGTTTCTCTGTGAATTTTAGCAGTTAAAAGACGGTTAGAGTATAGACGGTTAATTTCTGTACAAGTGGGAAATTTAGCAGTTACAAATCGAGTATAGAGAGTTAATTTCTGTACAAGTGGGAAATTTAGCAGTTACAAATCGAGTATAGAAAGTTAATTTCTACATAAGTCTCGGTAACAAAGAAAGTTTCCCTGTGAATTTTAGCAGTTACAAATCGAGTATAGAGGGTTAATTTCTTTTAGCAGTTACAAATCGAGTAGAGAGGGTAAATTTCTTTTGAAGTCTCGGTAGCAAAGAAAGTTTCTCTGTGAATTTTAGCAGTTACAAATCGAGTATAGAGAGTTAATTTCTATATAAGTCTCGGTAACAAAGAAAGAGTCTCTGTGAATTTTAGCAGTTACAAATCGAGTATATTAATTTCTTTTAGCAGTTACAAATCGAGTATAGAGGGTTAATTTCTTTTAGCAGTTACAAATCGAGTAGAGAGGGTAAATTTCTTTTGAAGTCTCGGTAGCAAAGAAAGTTTCTCTGTGAATTTTAGCAGTTACAAATCGAGTATAGAGAGTTAATTTCTATATAAGTCTCGGTAACAAAGAAAGATTCTCTGTGAATTTTAGCAGTTACAACTCGAGTATAGAGGGAAATTTAGCAGTTACAAATCGAGTATAGAGGTTTAATTTCTGTATAAGTGGAAAATTTAGCAGTTACAAATCGAGTATAGAGGGTTAATTTCTGTGTAAGTGGGAAATTTAGCACTTACAAATCGAGTATAGAGGGTTAATTTCTATATAAGTCTAGGTAACAAAGAAAGTTTCCCTCTGAATTCTAGCAGTTACAAATCGAGTATAGAGGGTTAATTTCTATATAAGTCTCGATAACAAAGAAAGTTTCCCTGTGAATTTTAGTAGTTACAAATCGAGTATAGAGGGTTAATTTCTGTATAAGTGGGAAATTTAGCAGTTACAAATCGAGTATAGAGTGTTAATTTCTATATAAGTCTCGATAACAAAGAAAGTTTCCCTGTGAATTTTAGTAGTTACAAATCGAGTATAGAGGGTTAATTTCTGTATAAGTGGGAAATTTAGCAGTTACAAATCGAGTATAGAGGGTTGAATATCGATATAAGTCACAGTATCAATTCTTAGTGAATTACAGAATTCCTAATCGAGTATAGAAAATTAATTCATCACTGTAGTTATGGGATTTTGGGAAGATTTTTAGCCGTAAAAGTGAAGGTTAATTCTTTTATAAGTCACTGTATCAAGAGCGTAAAGAATTTTCTTAATATTAAAATTGCTTTTTGTGTGTTTACTTTTGCAGTTATAAAACGAGACGTTTAAGAGTTAATTATTCAAAACATAAGGACTATCGAGTATACAGGGTTCAAGTCATCGTATCCAAGAACTTTCTATTAAAGGAATACTACGTCTTAGAACGAACATGAAATTGACAAATTTTGAACTTGGCCAATAAGAGCGTATATTTATCAGTAGATATACCTGGTGTCATGAATAACATAAGAGAATCCGTATATAATCCGATAAATAAACAAAACTGAATAATTTTCCATAAAAATGCAATAAGCTATCGAAAACGCCTAAAAAGCGTCTTTCAATAATCACTTTCAAATTTTACAGGGATTCTGTTGTAACTTTCTGACACCAGGTAAGTTCACTGATGAATATATACTCATATTGACCATTCTTGGGAACTTAAATGTTATGCACATTCTAAGACGTAGTATCACTTTAAGAGTTTTATAGGTTTGAAATCTGAAAGATTAATCTAATTAAGAAGTTAACAAGTGAAGTAAATATCGCTCCTTAGTCATCTTCTCTTGAAATCGAACATGGGATGTTTTAACCCCGTACTGCACTGTATCTATTCAATAAGATCTTAGGTGAAAAGAAAGGAGGACAAAGCCTGGAGTTATTTTCTTGATCGTACAAGACCTAAGTGTGTGACATTAAGCGAAACTTCTGTCGATTTGATGTTAGAAATCTGCAAGTTGACTGAAATTTGAAAAACCGGTTCACGTTGATAGTTGCGGTAACATGAATTTATGGTTGAAAGCTGAAATTTGACTGAAGACCTCTTCCAACCGGTTTACGATTGCGAATTGTGGAAAGTGGTACTTATTGTGGAACTGGAATTTATGGTCGAAATCCGAAATTTGACTGCAGACATCCGACCGATTTACTGATGAATTATTTAATTGCGGAATATCGAATATGTTAAAGGTCGAATTTTAAAAGCCTTCATCCGACCGGTTCACGAAGATCGTTGAAAACCAAAAGGTGTTCGTTAATATGAATTTATGTTCGCAATTTGACTGAAGATTTCATCCGACCGGTTTATTGGTGAGTTATGAATATTGTGGAAAACAATTAATCGAAAACCGGTTTATTTGAAAAACTTCATCCAACCGGTCACCGCTTATAGAATGAATTTAATCTCGAAATCCTCAACTTGGCTGACTATTGTTGCGGATTGGAAAACCAAAAGGTGTGCGGTTATATGAATTTAAAGTCGGCAATTTTATAATTGCGGATTGGAAAACCAAAAGGTGTGCGGTAATGATCAACTTGCTTGAAGACTTCATCCAACCGGTTTATAGTTGCAGATTGTGGAAAACCGAGGTGGGTGTTGCATAAAGTGAAACTTCTTTGAAATCAATAAATTCCAAACTCGAAATTTGAAAATGGATAAATGCATCCTTCTACTTACGCTCTTTACTGTAAACGCAAATAATTTATTTCTACTTCATCAACCGAACTTCAATGATTTATATATTAGCGATTATTTGACGTTAGAGAGTCTATCACAGATTCGTACATTAACATCGTGTGCCTATAGATGTGTCATAAATAGAGGATGTGTATCAGTGTTTTATGATAAGAATACCAAACAATGTGATTTAAAATCTGTACTATACCCGGTGACAGACAATAGTTTTACTCAGATCGGTTCACGGTATTATAGTGTTTATGAAGGTGAGAATATGAACAAATTGATATATAGATATATATATATATACAGGGTATTTCGACAGAAGGGACCCCCTCCCCCCCCCCCCCCCACCTCTCCCAAATCCTCCTCCCATTCCCTTTGCCCTTACCTGCAAACAGACAGGGGTACCTGCAGGTCGAGCCCACACAAAATATCAAATACTAAGAGAGAGAAAATTAAGTAAGTATAATATAAGTACCTGTTCTGAATCACTTTTGTTTTCTGATGTGTGGGGGGGCTTGCAAAAGGACTTTGGGAGTTTTCGACTCCATTGTAATCTACCAAGTTTTCTACAGCTGTCGCGTTCAGTGTTAGGTTAGGTTAAACCAATCAAAGTCTGTAATGTAGGACCCATTTCTTGTTAACGTTGACGGATTGTGGGACAGCAAATCCCATTTTTGGATTTCACTATCTCAAAATTGGTCAGGAAATGGCCATACATTAAGCTCTTTGATTGATTAAAAACAACGTGATGATTTTCTGGGATCCATGTAAGAAAAGATAGATGCGTAGTTTTGAACCCAGAATTCGAACTCTCACAACGTAGGTCTTGGTGAATTGTGACCCATTACTATGTTCTTTTCTATCTTTTTCAGAAGGTTGTCCTAAAGACTTTATCAGAAACAGAAAATACCACCTATGTTATAAACCGTATTTTGATACAATCGAGTGGATATATGATGGTATGAGCAACTGTGACGTCGGTGGTTATGTCTTGCTGAGAGCTAACACAGTTGAGGCCTATCGCCATGTATCGGATCAACTGATGGTCACACCAGGTAAATATATAGCCCATTAGTCTACCACGTCCAGGGCCAGATTTGTCAACCAGTAAATGTAGTACAGTTACTTCTTAGTGAGGATTGGCAACTGATTCATCAAGAGCGTCTTTCTCTCGTGGATTTCTCAATCAACTTGTCCACGATGCCAGTCTGAATAACTGAAAGGAGGTTTATGCGTTCGGATAGTAGTTGTACAAAGTTCTCTTGACGAAGAAAATCGAAAAAGAATATAGGTTTATACCACAGTCGTTTCATAATTACCCTCATTGCGAACTGCATGGCGTTGTCTATCAGGGGCAGAAAAGTAAGACGTCAGACTAATTTTAATTCTGTCACGGAATCTTTATATTATTTGATTAACGGACGGAGCCGCCATTGTATTTCATCACACCATTGGTATTTCAAATATTTCCAATTATTTTCATATTAATTGAAATATTGGCATTAAAATAGTACTGATAGTCGGAGAAGTGTTTTGCACCCCCTATTGTACCCCCACTTTATTTTCAACAAATCTAAATGTCTACCTTTTTTCTGTAAAATATGTGTCAGAATGCACAAAATCAATTTATTTTTTCTAAAATTTTCTTGCGAGAACCCTCTAAGACGCTCTATGAGAGGCTTGTGACTATTACACCACCAAAGAGTAGCCAGAATTTGAATCCAGCCTCAGCAGTTGGTCCTCCATTGAGTCAGTCTGTCTCCTATATGTACCCACAGTCTCGGTAGGCTGGCACCGTTACTGGAAGAAGGTCTTTGCGTTGATAAAAAAAACACATACATATGAACACTCAGTTTTCAGCCAAAATTTGGATCTTTCTGTTCAATGTAAACACACAAAAATGAAGTTATCAATGTAAAGTTATTTTAAGACATTGATAAAATTTTGATTTACGAACTAATTCACAAAAGCAGTATTTTTTTCTCTGATATTTTATAGAAGGCGATGGATATGGATACTATGTCGATGGAAGTGACGAGTACACTGAAGGTCACTGGATATTTGAAGATGGAACCCCAATGACAGCGTTTATTTGGGGAGATAATGAACCCGATAATAGTACCTATTCAGATTTTATTTATCTTAAACGCAGCAACGGTAAATATATAATGTCCGACACTCAAAATGAATTGTATGGCGATTATATTTGTCAAAAAAGAATGAACGAGGAAGAAAATTTAATAGGGTTGATGGCTCTTAAATGAGAATGTTGTCCAAATATTAACTGAGGATTGTGTTAACTGAGAACTGTCCATAATTAATAACTGTGAACTGTCCATAATTGATAACTGAGAACTGTCCATAAGTAATTACTAAGAACTGTACATAAGTAATAACTGAGAACTGTCCATAAATAATAACTAAGAACTATTCATAAGTAATAACTAAGAACTGTACATAAGTAATAACTGAGAACTGTCCATAAGTAATAACTGAGAACTGTCTATAAGTAATTACTAAGAACTGTCCATAAGCAATAACTAAGAACTATTCATAAGTAATAACTAAGAACTGTACATAAGTAATAACTGAGAACTGTCCATAAGTAATAACTGAGAACTGTCTATAAGTAATTACTAAGAACTGGCCATAAGCAATAACTAAGAACTATTCATAAGTAATAACTAAGAACTGTACATAAGTAATAAATGAGAACTGTCCATAAGTAATAACTAAGAATTGTTCATAAGTAATAACTGAGAACTGTCCAAAAGTAATAACTATGAACTGTCCATAAGTAATAATTATGAACTGTCCATAAGTAATAAATGAGAACTTTCCATAAGTAATTACTAAGAACTGTCCATAAGCAATAACTAAGAACTATTCATAGGTAATAACTAAGAACTATCCATAAACATAACTGAGAACTGTCCATAAGTAATAACCGAGAACAGTCCATAAGTATTAACCGAGAACTGCACATAAGTAATAACTGAGAACTGTACATAAGTAATAACTATGAACTGTCCATAAGCAATAACTGAGAACTGTCCATAAGTAATAACCGAGAACTGTCCATAAGTAATAACTATGAACTATCCATAAGTAATAACTAAGAACTGTACATAATTAATAACTATGAACTGTCCACAAGTAATAACTAAGAACTATCCATAAGTAATAACTAAGAACTATTCATAAGCAATAACTGAGAATTGTCCATAAGTAATAACCGAGAACCGTCCATAAGTATTAACTGAGAACTGCACATAAGTAATAACTGAGAACTGTACATAAGTAATAAATATGAACTGTCCATAAATAATAACTAAGAACTGTCCATAAGTAATAACTTAGAACTGTCCATAAGTAATAACTGAGAACTGTACATAAGTAATAACTAAGAACTATCCATAAGTAATAATTAGAACTGTACATAAGTATTAACTATGAACTGTCCATAAATGATAAATGAGAACTGTCCATAAGCAATAACTAAGAACTGTACATAAGTAATAACTATGAACTGTCCATAAATAATAAATGAGAACTGTCCATAAGTAATAACTAAGAACTATTCATAAGCAATAACTGAGAATTGTCCATAAGTAATAACCGAGAACCGTCCATAAGTATTAACTGAGAACTGCACATAAG